ATTTCAAGAGGACCGACCTTTAACTTGCCTTCATCCAAAGAGGCTTCTTTAGAAAATGGAAGCTTGAACTTAGATTTTTCACCCTTTTTAAGTTGTGCAAATGCCCCTTTTATAGATATTTTTAGAGATCTTTTGATCCTTTTATGAGTTGACATCCCCTCACGATTGTGTTCAAAAAATTATCAAGTTCAATTTTCAAGATTATATTGAGGTTTTTGTTTTGTTGACGCTTATCAAGCAATTTATTGTGTGCATTCACAGATTTATTGCACAAGTCTATATTGATTGTGTCAAATTTTGCACTAACGTTTCTCCCCTTATCTAAGGCTTATTTCGAGGCCTTTAGATCTTTTGGTAGCCGAGGCATTAAGTTGTGTTTTTAGTCAAGTGCTATTGCTTTGCGCATTTTGCTGGTAAATGGTTCTTCGACAATCAAGGCTTCTTTTCACTTTGACGATTCCTCGATGATCGAGATATGAATATGCAAGGACAAAAGGGCATGCAATGAGACCCTTTTGTGGTTGATGCGGAGTCCTAATAGATCATAATTATTTTAGCACGTAACATTGCTCACGAACAAACCATTATTGATTCAATGTATTTATAGTTTTGAGAATTATATTTTTGTTGAAAACTTAAAAAATATACACAGTTCCTATAAATTTTCAAAGTATGCATTATTTTATGGGAAAAATACATAACTACATAAAATTAAAGATAAAATTTCTACTTTGTCAAACTTGAAATTTTTTTTAAAAATCAAGTCATAAATAGGTTATTTTATGTATACTAGATAGTGAAAGATATTTAAAAGGATTCTCCCTTACATCAAGGAATTAGTTAACATTCCTTCCAAAAATCATGTGGCGTTGATTAAATAGATAATTATATTTTTTTATTAATTAAATAGATAATTAAATATATTAAGGTTACAATATCATACAATTTATTATTAAAGTTACATATTAGCCTTAATCACAGAATGTCATAGTCACAAATCTCAAATTTTATAAGTTACAACTTATTTTTCAATCCCAAATTATCAAATTAATTGTTCACATATTAATTTTTTTATATTATAAATCACAAAATTTATAAGTCACAACTTATTTCACGGTTTCAAATTATTAAATTAATTGGTTACAACTTATTTTTCAATCACAAATGATCAAATTAATTAATCACGGCATATTTCACGATCATAAATTATCATGTTAATTGTTCACAACTTATTTATCAATCACGAAAACACACATTACATATTTTTGAGATCACATATTATTTATAGGTCACATTCGTTTATTAATGACAATTACCCAATAATTGGCCACGACCATTCTTCTTCTGACCAATTCCGCCCCACCCTTTCCAACCACCAATGGCGCCACCAAAAAGCATCGATATCACCTCACCACCACCACAGCACTACTACCCGCAACACCACTACAACACAACCATCGCCTCCAAAACGTACAACACACAGGTCACCACACACATACCACCACCACAACCCCTCACCATTGCCTCCGACCAATAACCACACCACTACCATGTTGATCTGTACCTCTATTGCCACCAACGAAAATCAACATCTAATCCACCATTAACAACATCAGATTTGAACGGAAAACAACACCATCCAACGGAAAAAAACAAATAGTAGCAAATTTGAACCATCAACAACATCTAATTCACCACCATCCAACGGAAAATACCATCAATAACACCTAATCCATAGAATCAACAAACAATAGCAGATTTGAACCAAAAACACATAGAGTTGCATTGGGATTTCGTGAGCCACTCATCACTCGATTCGACCCCTTTTGGTCAAATTTTGGCGAATAGACCACTACAAATGAAATCAGAAGGCCCAAAAACCCTTAGGGCGGAGTCCTTGACCTTCAATTTGATCGAAAATTTTGGATTTGCACAGAGAGAAAATAATCTGTAGAGAGAATTCAACCGCCATTTTTGTAGTTGAGCCTTAACGGGTGCGTGGGGTGGGTTGTAAGGGCAGGGGAAATTATCTTTATTTGGTTACGTTTTATTTAAGAATTAATTACTAATTTTTTTGATAATTTAGCTTTATAAAAATTAGAATATATATTTTTAAAAACATAATTAGCACCTATTTTTGAAAATAAATCTTAATGAAATGATTAATTAATCAAACTTAAATTACATGATTTTGCTTAGTTTTTCCTTATTTTATTTATTTATTTGT